ACATTGACACACTTTAAAGTTTGTATACCTGTGTGACACATGAATCCCTATGTTTAAAAGTAGTTTGGAATACTGTTAAAAGTTAATCACGTCAGCATATTTTAGCAATCAAATTTCCAAAATACCCCTATTGAATTAATTAATATCAATCTACTTAATTTTATGCCAATTATCTACCCAATTATTTAATCAATTCATAATCAATAATAATTTTTGATGATACATAAAACTGCCTTCGTGCAAGATCAATAGTCAAATATGTGTAAGGGTGTGATTAATGAGCAATCAACGACAATCAATAGATAAAAATAGTAAATAAGCAACAAACACAAAAATTTATAGTAGTTCGGTCCGGATGACCAACGTCCACTCTTGGGAATGGCAGCGCGCGGCCTGTGTTCTTTATTGATGTTGATGAATGATAGTACTCCAGAGAAATACAGTGCTTTTAGAGAGACAGAGAGAAAACAATGAGTGTAAGGTTTGGAGGCGTGCCCTCAATGTTGAGAAGGTTTACATTATATAACTAGGGTAAGGTAGTGGAGGCGGTGACGTGAGGGAAAAGAATTTCATAGCTTTGATAAGTATTGTTATGGTAGGAGATCTTCTATGTCAATCTCTATATTATCTGCCCTTATGCTCCTATTCATTCGGAGGAGAACGTTAGTTGGATTGAACTTGACCTAGACTTGGACCTATCCTAGCTTGGACTTGGAGTTCCAAAGTGAAGAGGAGCGAAGAGGGAGGCGCCCAAGGGGCCAGCCTAGGAGACGCCCAATTGCTAAGTCTCTTGGGCGTTGGCCTTGGGGCTTTGGTTGTTGACTTCTTGATGTCTTCTTTTCCAATGGATCGATTCAGTTTAGAGTTGGGCTTTCCTTCGACCTTTCTTGGATTGTTTTCGTTGGGCCTAGCCCAGTTAAATTTGTGCTCATCATTTGCCTAATTTGTGCTCATCAATTTTTATTCAAAATAAATGAGTAATATCCATTTTATTACTAGACCCTTCACAAACTTTCTTAACCAGTGCTGTCACCACCAGTGCTACCATTATTCCCTTTCCTTATCATTCTCATCACTAGCATCACCAGAATCTATCTTTTCCAAATTCAAATCCAAATCCATCTGAAATTTCATGAAAAACACAATCCAAAATTTCAAACACAATGCAAGTGTCCACCCAAAACCAATCTAAATCCAACAAACAATACAAAATACCCATAGATATACACAACCAATTACAAAAATATGTGAGAGAGGGAGAGAATACAACCCCACCCACACATCAAAATAGAGTGAGAAAATACAACCCCACTTCAATTTCCATTTCTTCTTCTCCCTCTTCTTCGTTACTTGTTACTCATCAACACCATGGATTACATCATTGATTAAGGTTCACTAGTGTTAATTTGATTGAGAATTTTAGCGTTGTGATAAGTCTGGTCGTAGCCATTGTGGTGTGATGTCTATTATGGTGCGATGATGGGTCTGATGGTGGCCATGGTGACAGTTGCTTAGGTGAGTGGGGATGGTTGGTGGCAGGAGAAAGAGAGAGAGAGAGAGAGAGAGAGATATATGATATTTAATGGGGTACGACTTGGATTCGGGTGGGTTAGGTCAAATTAAGATGATGTAAGTATTTGAATTTGGTTAGATTAGAATTATTTGATTTTAGACGAAGGGTAAAATAGTCATTTCATAACTTCTATTAGGTGGGTTAGTTGTCTGTTATTGATAAGGGTATCAGTGTAATATTTCATACTTGAGGAGGCCCGTGTATTTTAGTAACAAAGCTCAAAGAGTCTAAATGTAATTTATCCTTCTTTCTTTAGATTACTCATTATTTCTGAATTTCTTGTTAAAAAGTGCTCTACACGCATGTTATAGCCTACTTTGTTTATATAGGACTAATTTAGAGAATCAATTAGTGCATCTTATTCCTTATATTGATTGAATTAATAGTTGTTCACGGTTAATTCAACAATCATAATTACTATAATGTATTAGATACTCAAATTAAGTAATATAATGCATTAAATATACAAGTCAAGTGTCTAAATTATATGTCAATAGCATTACTTTTATTCGTTTTGAAGTTTGGCACATATATTATCCTATGTTGTTCTACAAATGGTTTTCAAAAAAAGTATTTCTGTCGGTTTTGGATTGTGAGCAAAATAAGTTTGTCCACCCACATTTCTTTACTTTGGAATTGAATCATACACGTTGTTCGTATAAAAAATATTAAGACAAGACTTTGTTGAGTTGGTTAATCTAATTATACATAATTAACTGTAACACACAGAGAGTCTAAGCTAATGCTCCATAATTAAATCTTGTTCATGGTGGAAAATTATTGTCATTGATATATTCTTTATGTGGATATAAACCTTTCCCTTACTAGCCTGGCAGAGAAACTTGTACACAATAACCACAAGTGACAAGAAAGTCCATCAATGAAGTAGTCGGCGCGGGATGCTAGTTTGCTATTATTATGGTCTGGTCTGCTCTAATATCTGGCAATCTAACATGAAGACGTTGTTGAATTCTTGACAGCAAATACTATCCAGAAGTGATAGGGAAGGTAATTGTACATCCAATGGGACTTCCTACTCCATGTATATGCTAATCTGCTATACCAGATGATGCATATGTGTACATTTTGGCGGAATTTGAGATAAATTTTAATTTTCCGGTGAATTGTTTTGGTCATCTAAGAAATGAAAATATTTTGGAAACTGAATAAAAACAAAGAAAAAATTTTAAAATTTATTTTCAAAACCATAATCAAAACACATCAAAATACGAAAATTTCGATATTCAAACAATACTTTGGAACATAAAATTTAGTTCCCTTAGGGGTTGTTTAGTATGGAGGTTTGGGAGGGGTTTGGATTGTGGGTTGGAGAAATACGAAAATTTTAAAATTTTAAAAACAAAGAAAAAATTTTAAAATTTATTTTCAAAACAGTAATCAAAACACATCAAAATACGAAAATTTCGATATTCAAACAATACTTTGGAACATAAAATTTAGTTCCCTTAGGGGTTGTTTGGTATGGAAGTTTGGGAGGAGTTTGGATTGTGGGTTGGAGAATAAATCCCTTAAACCCATATTTGGTGACCCATATTTAGCCTAAGATTTGGAAACTCAATCCGTTGGATGACCCGGTCATAAAACCCACATACTTGGGTTTCATGAAACCCAAGGGGGGGTTTTATATGTGGGCTAAAAGATTTAATATTCAAATGATATTTATACCCCCATATATCTTATATTTTTTCATATATACAAATTGGTTAAGGGACGAAATAATCATTTTTATATAAATATATTATTATAATAATCATATATTCATGCGCGTACCAAACATGGGTATGAACAACATTGAATGTTGAATCCTATCTTTGGGCCAAACCCGAGTTTGAACAAGTCAATCTAAACTCCTCCTAAAAAACATACCAAACAGGTCCTTAAAATTACAAAATTAAGAAGGGCCAAAGATATACCAAAAGTAAGAAAACCCACCTCTATGATCAAGCATAAACTTCAATTAATATTGATTTTATTCTCTAGGTTTTTTGGTTATATAATGAATTCAGTTGCGTCACAAAAAAAAAAAAAAACAATATTATCCTTTTAAAAAGGGCAAAAATTATTGTCAATGCTAATTTTGTTCCTTTAAGTTATTTTTTTTTCCTTCTAAGAGGTATGGCCAGATGGTAATCCACAAAGGGTGCAAATTAATAAGGTTGTAACTTAAAGAGATTTTTTGCTTCTCATTTTAGGTGGGTTTTGACAAAGTGGTAAGATTCTTTCATCGTGACTTGGGTATCAAGGGCTCGAACTGCAAAAATAACCTTTTCATATACAAGGTAAGATTATGTATATTTAACTCTTTTTAAACCCTACAATACACTGCACTGCACTGCCTTTTATTGTATGTATGCTCTATTGATTCAGTGATTTGCTGCATTTATTGTTCCACAAAACCTAGCCCCAAAACTCCCTTTTGTCTATTTTTTTAAACTCTTCATATTTTTCATAGTAAAGTTAATTATTACCCAATAGTTATACTGAACAGATTTTTTTTATACTCAACAGATCAAATCCATCACCAATGAAGCACCAAAATTAAGTTTCTAACATACAAAATGGAACCAGTGAAATCCCTTGCCAGTTGCCACACTGCATTGGCCATGTGCTACTTGTGATGCACTATAATGATGTTTCACATGCAAAGCCTTTTCTTCTTCCTCCCACTTGTATATATTCCTGTGAAATTTGCTTCCTGCAAACTGGGGATTACTTACAGAGAACCTCAAATTTGTACAAAATTCTTAGGAATTGGAAAGAAACGATGACAACAATAAGCTCAATAGAAAGAAGGAGATTAAGAAGCAAGGATCAAAGTACTGTAAAAAAAACTTACCCAAAAAGTACTGTAAAAACCTGAACATAAGCTAAACCGAAGAGAAGGAGATTAAGAATCAAGGATCAAAGTACTGTAAAAACCCAACAAGTAACTTGCAGCATGGCATCAAACAAAAAAAAAAAAAGGTTAACCCATACCACAATTTGAGGAGGACAAAAAAAAAAGCAGTGTACGAGGCTACATCCACTGCAGGATCCGGAGGGGACCATGCACAGAGTAGACACCTCAGGTTCGAGTTGGGAACATAGTTTTTTCATTTTTTCGCACGGAGGGTAAGGTTGTACTTACCCTGTGTGGGAAAAAAAATTTCACTACCTCAAATATTATACTTGATAGGACCTCAACAATGTAATACCTGTAGAAAGGCTTTCTCAGCAAATAGCAAATGATAAATTATGAATCAATGGCTTTTGAAAACCTTACACAGAGAGAGAGAGAGAGAGAGAGAAACAGGACTTACATTTTGAAGAATACAATAACCATGAATTTTTCTTTCTTGAGTTGCACTATATCCATGGAATTTACTATAACAATCAGATATAAAAGACAAAAATATTCAAGAAGTACTCATGGTTTGTAAATCTGGGAAAGAGCTTGCAACACATTGATTTGCAGCCTCAAATGCAAAATGTAATCTGCTGTCATAAGGAGAAGGCGGTCCGGCTTCAATCCATACCCTCCTGGTATGAGCTTCTGCAGCTTCTTCACCTTCATGTGAACCGAACCACGCGCCACCCGCTTATGTTTTCTACCCACCATTTTCACCCCATTCCTATCTGCACCACCATTAGAACTCATACTGTAATAATGGCACAAGTTTAAGCTCCCTAGAGAAAGATAAATGCAATACCAGAAGGTTGGAGCTGAAAGGGAGAGCGCTATTTATGTATGTAGCTGTAATATGTTGAGAGGAATGAGGGATATATATAAAAAAGTGAGGGTGGGGGTGGGGGTGGTGGTTTGAGGTGGGGCATGCCTGTAAACCAACCAGATTTCGACCCATTTTAATTTGATTCAAAAAAAATTCAATAAATTTTATATTTATAATTCATTTCAAATTTGTGAAAAATCAAAATTCAAATAAATAATCTAGTTCGATCTGAATAACTTGTTTAAGATTAAACAAATTAAATCTCTATTTCAATATAGATTCATTAAATAATTAGTTAATTATAGTTATTCAATTTTATTAAATAATTCTGGTCAAAAAAAATAAAAAAATAATTAAATATAACCAAAGAGAAATTCAAGTGATAATAGAGACGAGTTATAAATTCAAACGTCTTGAGTTTGAATTTTGACAACTCCTTGAGACTAAACTATAAAGAATTTGTCCTACATGAATACCCTGGTCCAGGCATGAATGACTTGTCTTTAACCAAACTAGAAAAAGATTAATTGAGGTACATATAAGCTGATCTAGATACTTTTAACCGTTAAAAAAAAAATTATCAAAATGGTGATATATATTTTTTTTGATGTAAAAATTACCTACTATCGTTGGGGTTGGAAGGGTGGAGGGGGAAGGGCGGTGGTCCGGGTGGACAAGGGCCATGTGAGCCGAGCCAAGTGGGAGAGATGGGCTTTTTAGGACAATGAGGCTATTGTTAATTTTGTTGTCGTTTTGTTAGTAGGCCCAAACTGATGGTAGAGCTTTCAAACGGCCATCGCACGTGTCTGACAGCTGTCTCGCACGCTTACGCCAGCCACTACTTGCTTCACTTTTAGTTTTAACAAATCACTACTACTTCTGGGGGACTGTGATCAACTGTTACATGACAGCGTATCTCCCCTCGTAATCCCCGAATCCCGACAGTTGGCCCCTCACACATGCTTAGATATGATCTTCTACTTCACCCCCCACCCCCCTCATTGATCTTAAACCACTGAAAATGCAAATCAAAGGGTCAATATTCAATCATCATATATAGTTAGGACAGTCTTGCGATACCGAAATATATTTATTTGATATTGTACATTTATTTTTTGATAAATAAATATATTTATTTATTCTATCAATGTTTATAGATCATCCAATTCAAAATTAACGGTAGAAATTTTTCATGTGTAAAAAAATGACGCGACTCGTTAATACAATATAAATATAAAATGAAATTAGATAATTTGAGTTTTCTTTAAACCGTATGGTAAATAAGAGGACTCGACACGATATGATTAATTAACGAATTAGGTGTGAGTGAAGCCAATTAAAAAAAAATACGATATGATTCGTTTATATACAAGTTATACACGAGTTATACATGACACAAATCTGATATGACGTAACTCGTTAAACACAAATTAATAAACGAATTGGATATGATTGATGTGTTTTTTAACACGAACTTATTAAGATCCGACACAAACTCATTTCACTCGACATAATTAACAGGTTATATGGTCCTACAACTTAACCCTTATGGTTATTATTATAATGAAATTTCATGCATTCATACAAGCCCACCCACTTCAAAAAAAAAAAAAAAGTAAAAGAGATATTATTAGAGTTAATGGTGGCTTGTGTAATTCGTTTTCTGTATAAATTTATTCAATTTATATTTGATCTATATATCATTCATCGTATATAGTTGATTTCATATTTTATAAATTATATTAATTTATTTATTAGACAAGTCTAACCGTTTAACTCGTTTATCTTTTAAAATCATTAATGACATTTGCATTCTAGTATCTTTGTGTTGATTTCGTGTCAATTAAAAATTGCCCTATATAACATTGAGGGCGTTGAAGAAAATTAGTAATGAAAAGGATCGCAATTCTAGTCTCCCATAGGCGTGGGAGAGTCTACATGTGTCGGGTGCTTTAATAAGTCCATATATTTTGAGATACCACTGAACGGTTGGTCCCGTTGATGAGAATTTAAATTTTTTTTGTTTAATGTTTGAGTTTGAGTCTCTATAGTTATAGAAATTCAGTGGGGGCTAAACCTACTTTTCAATGCCTACAATACGCTGTAAGACCTTAACTTTAGCCTCGACGTAGATATAATAAAATCTCCTAAAAATAATTGTGTGAAAAATGTATATATTGACTTATCTGTATATCGATTTTAGAAGTATACTACTGAGATGACCAAAACAAAAAAGAAGAAAGACATTAAAGATATGGTTTTATTTGAGCAAAATTAGGTGTTGCACATGCTGGGGCCTGGTCATCAGCGTAATTTCAGGAACTGAGTGTGTGATCGAAGGAACAGATTTTATCAACCTCTATTTCAGAACCAATGTTGGTTTAGGGTTGCTGACAACTTGATCACATCATGGAATGCAATCGTATGATGTATTGGAGCCCACGAAGGTATGGAGGAAGGAAAGAGATATTAAACAGTGTCATTATTAGATATTATTATTATAACATGGGTACGTCCAACACATTTCTTAAGCATGCTTTATAACTCGTGTCTTATTGATAACCCTAGAGAAAAACTACAGTATCGATTTCAAAATTTATAAATTTTTGGGGTTGATTTGTAATATTTTGAGGTAAAAGCTAGGATTAGAAAAGGCCTAATTGATAAAATATTATCATCAATCATGAAAGTTATAACTTTTAAAGGTAAGATTATAATTTTTAAAGGTCAAATTACATCTTTTTTTACAATTGATTAGGAGGTTCAATCATAACATTTCATCATCGATCATAAATTTTATTTACTTTTAATAGATGTAACTTAGACTTTAAAAAATAATAAACTTTTGATATAGTACCAAATTATTTTTTCCAAATGTTGTAGAATTACCCCATGGATGGGAAGTTTGTGAAAATTCTAGCTTTGTCTGTTCTATGTAGAGCGTAGAGTCTTTTTTTAAAAGGGGCAAAGAAAAAAGAGAGCGTCGAAAGACTATTTTGATAGATCCTAACTAGTGGGATGATGAGGCTCTTAATCGTGTTCATTATTTTTTTTGAGAATAGATTTAGCTAGACTAGTATAACGGTCAACCACCAAACTCTAATGTAGACTCTGAAATTTAAACCTTCGATCCCTACTCGGTGGTGGTCCAGTGGGGCATGCTATATCCTCCTATTTGGAGAATTCAGTGTTGATAATATATACTAATAGCCCTACTATATCTGTGAACTTCAATATTCATTTTTCTTGAATATATTGGTTTAAACATTGGAGGGTTAACATCGGAAACACATTCGATAACCTTCCGACGATTGGTTGCCCAGATTTTTTCCTTTAAACTAAAGAAAAACTGAGTTTAGGATTCGATGCAGGGAAGCCATTCTCGCATCGTTGAAAAATTTATTATCTATATTTTGATAGAAATGACAAGTGCTCATCCACGTAATTAGCAAAACACCACAAATCGAGTATAGGAATCAATGTGTTCCAAATGAAAAAGTAAAACTATATGCTATCTATCTCTTCTAAACTCGGACTATACATGAGAATCTTGTAGACTAAGTAAAACTTTGGTTGGATTCACATTAACAGTCAACCACAATGGGTTACAGATAGATATGGGTGAGCAGATATAGAGAACATACTAGCTAGTAGCTACATACATTCACAAGAGGTTAAGCTTCTATTAGCGGTCCCCTACTTGGACAGGTGCCTGATCAGACACTTCCAGAGGTTCACGAGGTCATTTAAACCCTATGCCATCATGTGAAGGTTAATGATGATGATGAGTTCGACAAACGTACCTATCAATCACACCTCTCTCTCTCTCTATATATATATTTATACACGACATGTACACGGGCATGTATACGTGTACATTACTGCAATTTTGTCACTTACAAGTTGGTTCAATCTCAAATAATATTTATATACATATTTAATCACATGATTGATCCCTGATAGTTGACCAGCACAAGTTAATGCCCTATTGAATCTATCCCAAACATTTCAAACTATTTCAAAAACATTTTTTAAAGTAGGTTCATTGAACTAATAGCTAAATTGAACTCGAACTTGTGTTCGAGCTTAAATTCAAGTTCAACCGCAAGTTCTTGTATACCTTATTTATGTATATATATACATATAATGTTCTATATATACCTCGACTTATGTATTAAATGAACGTTAAATATGAACTCGAAGTTGAATAGTCTTTTATTTGACACCCTACGTGTCGGTAACTAGGGTTTTGCTAAAGTGATCCACTACTGAAATTTCTTTCATAAGTTTTGAAAACCGACAGTAGTGCCGGTTTATGAGATTACACGTTATGATTAGTGTGCGTGCAAGATCCTGCACAATATAAAAAACGAGAACAGATCTCTCCCTTGGTGAACTCGAGTGAGCAGGTTGAGTGACCAAACACGCTGTTTGGGACAGCTTGCAAGGTACGGTGGTAACCTGGAACGGCAACGGGAGACCCTGGGAAAGGAAGAATGATCCTGTAAGGCTGAAAGAGGTTCCTGGAACAAAGAAGAACAAGTTAGAAGGGCGCCGGAGTGTTTTTCGGCGTATCCCCTCCGACGATCTAGTCAGTCTTTGAGAGAGAGAGAGATGAAGGAGAAATCACTGAGTGTGTATTGTAGTAAAGAGTTTGTTGTTGCATACCCGTCTTGCCTTTTGCAAGGAGTATTTATACCTCAAAAGTTCATGATTGCTGTCAGTGTAGTCAGTAGGTGATCATTAGGTACAGGCAGTGTGCGCACTGATTCTGATGAGGAATGTCTTCTCTTCTTAAATGCTCGGGGTCCCGAGCAATCAATGCTTTGTCATCGGAATGCCGACGGTACAATGTGTTCCTCTCGGGGAGGATGCAATAAATGCTCTGTAATAGGAGCATTTATTGCCTTTCATTTCCGAGCCTTACCTCATTGAATGCGGTCTCATCAAGGGAATGGTGCAATTAATTGTTTGCTTTCCCAAGTCGCGTGTCAGCAACGACATGCGTTTTCTCTGTTTTGATGTGATATCATTTGCCACGCGTCCATCTCTTAATGGCTGTGACCCCTGTATTCCAGTACGTTCTGACACTGATTGTGTAAGACGAGGTCATGATGAACAGCCTAGACTAGCCTAGGCTAATGACCTGTACGTCAATAGCTTATCCTGGAGTAGAGGAAGCGTCCAGGACGGGTACCTCTCGGCACCGAGGAAAGGCACATCTCGGGGACCGAGGGAGGTATGCCGACCGAGGTACATATCAGACCGAGGCCACGTGTTGGTTGTAAAAAACATACTGAACGCATGATCCTATACGACGAGTACCTCGGGGGCGAGGACCTTGTGCGCCGATGGTGCTTGATCTTAGCAACAGTATTTTGGTAATACCGAGGACACGTGTCTTCATCATGGAGTATCTCAGAAAAGTCCCATCAACTGCCCCCCAGCCTTCGATCTTCTGACACCCGAGGACACGCATCGTAAGGAGACGAATGGTTTTTCAACGACCACCAGTACTTCATCATTGCCTCGAGCCATTTCCCCCGCTTGGGATGTCGTGCGCATTAAATGCGCCGTTTCATTTTTGCGCCCAATGATGAAAATTGCCTCTATATAAAGGGGGCTTCTCTTCCAGTTTCCTTGTTTTGCCATTCTGAACTTCCTCAAGAGAGCCTCTTCTTGAA